AGGAGGCTGAGATAGGAGAAATTGCAAATTCATTGCCAGTCTGGCGAATGTAGTAACTTAAATTTAAGACTAAGAACTGATAATGTAGCTCAATGATTAAGCACCCTTGGATTCAATCTTCAACATTACAAAAAAAAAAATGCTCACATTATTATACATAAATACCAATTATCCAAAATAAAATTAAGAAAAAGCACAATATCAACAAAAATAATAAAATAAGAAATGAAAGACCTATACTCTGAAAATTCTCAAACACAAAAACAGGAAAGTAAAGAAGACAAAGATAAGTGGGAATATATATTATATTTGTGACTGGAAGAAATAATATTGTTTAATCTCCATACTATTCAAAGTGAGCATAGATGTAATGTGCTCCTAAAAAATTCCCAATGGTGTGGCATTCTTTCAGAAACAGAAAAATATCCTAAAATTCTTATGGAACAGCAAAAGACTCCAAATAGTCCAAGCAATCTCATGTAAGAAGACCAAGGCTGGAGGCATCACACTTCCTGACTTAAAAATGCATAATAGAAGTACTCTAATTAAAAAAGTATGATGCTATCTAAAACAAACAGATGTACAGATCAATGGAACAGACTAGAAAGTCCAAAAATAAATTCTTGCATCTTTGGCCAACTAATCTTTGACAGGAGTACCAAGAGAAAAAAAAAAAAAGGACAGAAAAGCTTCTTTAATAAATGGCATCAGATCAACTGATATCCACATGTGGAATGGAATTGGAGCCTTGCCTCACACTACCTTTTGAACATGGTTTATCTCCCAAGGTCTCTTGGAGTGGTAATTTTGTCCGTATTGTGTCAATAATGAGACACTCTATGGACCTTGAAGAAGTGGGGCCTAGTGGAAGCCCTTAGGTCATTGAGCAGGGTATTAAGCAGTTTTTGTAGTATTGTAGCTGGGTGTGGTGGTTCACACCCATAATCCTAGTGTCTCAAGAGTTGAGGCAGAACTATCACAAGATCAAGGCCATCCTCAGCAACTTAGTAAGGTCCTGTGCAATTTAGCAAAACTTTGTCTTAAAATAAATTATAAAAGCCGGGTGTGGTTGCACATACCTGTAATCCCAGTGGCTCCAGAGGCTGAGATGGGAAGATCATGAGTTCAAAGCCAGCCTCAGCAAAAAGTGAGGCCCTAAGCAACTCAGTGAGACCCTGTCTCTAAATAAAATACAAAATACGGCTGGGGATGTGGCTCAGTGGTGGAGTGTCACATCTCATGACTAAACATCAAGGTCACTCCAGGTGAACTGGGCTACACGAAATAACCACACAGAGACATGGAAATACCTTTTTCTTTGGGTCCTGTGATGGCTCCTCTGACCTTAGGGGTCCGTGTAAAGAGACAGAGCGAGGAGCATGTGCTGTACCCTTTTATGGGGAAGAAGCCACTCAAATGAGGCAAGGATTAAGATTACAAGGGAACAGATAAATTTAACTCAACCCCTCTGGGTGTGGCCTACTCATCTTATTTATCTGAGTCTTTCAGATCCCTGTGGTGCATCAGGACTTAAAGGTGCATGCATTTGGAGTGGCTCCCCACAGTTGAGTGCCCCTGAGTTCAATCCCCAGTATCAATCAATAAATAAATAATAAAAAGGGTTTTGATGTGGCTCAGTGGTTAAGAATCCCTGGGTTCAATATCCAGTACAAAAACAAACAACAACAATAAAAAACAGTTATTGTGGTATCCCTTCATTAGTTCTTATGAGTGCAAGTTGTTACAAAAGCAAACCTGAACTCTGAATTGCTCTTTGCCTTCTCATCTGACAATGTGATCTCTTGTTCCTGAACATGCCCCTGCCATTGTGATGTCCACTGCCATGATGGGATGTACCAACAGGCCCTTCTCAGAGCTGTCACAATGCTGTTGGAACTTTCAGAATCCAAAACTGCAAACTAAATAAATCTATTTCTTTTAAACATTCATTCTCATGTATTTTATTATGGTAACAACAAACTCACTAATACACATGCACACACCATAGACAAAATTCAACTCAAAGGAGATCAAACAATTAAGCATGCGACTTGAAACTCTGAAAATGCTAAAAGAAAACCTAGGGGGAAAGCTTCATGCTGTGTTTAGGCAGTAATTTTTTTGGATATCTCCCAAACATGAGCTCTTTGTCTAACCCAAAGAAAATAGACAAATGAGATTATATGAAATAAAAAGCTTTAGCACAGCAAAGGAAACAATCAACAAGGGGTAGATATCACCTATGGAATGAGGGAAAATAGCTGCAAACCATACATGTAACTCGATAGGAAGAAAATAAGTTGATATAAAAATGGACTGAAAACTTGAATAGACATTCCTCAAAAGAAGACATAAAAATAGTTCAATATTACTAATCATTAGGGAAACACAAATCAAAATCATAATGAGAAGTCACCCACACCTATTAGACTGGCAATTACCAAAAAAATGAAAGGTGAAAAGAATTGGTGGGGATGTGAAGGAAACAGAAAGGTGTCACCAAGTTGTTTACTAGGGCCTAGCTAGGGCTGGCCTTTAACTTATCATCCTCCTGTCTCAGCCTTCTGAGTCGCTGGTATTACAAGATGTACCACCACACCCAGCTCATGTAATTTACTGAATATTATACTGAAAGTAAAAAAAAAAAAAAAACAGAATTGTTGTATGGCTATACTTCTGCAGAATTATGAAATCAAAAATTATTAAGTTGAACCATCATAATTGGTGGACCATCTGGACTTTGGACTTCTCCTCTATCACTATAAGCTGTAAGGTGAACTGGCAACTTAAAAAAACAGGAATGAGGGGCTGGGATTGTGGCTCAGTGGTAGAGCACTGGCCAAGCACGGGCGGGACCTGGGTTGGATCCTCAGCACCGCATAAAAATAAAGGCATTGTGTTGTGTCCATCTACATCAAAAAATAAATATTAAAAAAAAAAAACAGGGATGAGGCAGAGTATATAGAGATTTCCAATGAAAGAGAATCACTGTGGAAATAGAAAAGGATGTCAAATCAGATTTTTATACTATGTTCACTTACAGAGATTGTTACTATTACTTTTAAAATCTACATATGATACCGAAGCTGGTCCAAAATAAAGTGGGGAAAAAGAAGAGAAATAGGGAAGAAGGGTGAATTCTATCAAAATAGAAAATTATTGGAGTAGTGGAAAGGGATTGATGGGGAGAGAGGAGGAACAGGATAAGGGAAAATGGTGGAATGAACCTGACCTAAGTTTCCTATGTACATATATAAATATACCACAGTGAATCTCACCATCATGTACATCCACAAGACACTAATTTTAAAAAAATACTGCAAGTAAATAGCAGAAAGCTCAAAGTAGAGAAAAGGGAACAGGGGAGGGAAGAGGAAGCATAATGCAAAGTACTGGGGACTGAATTAAATTACATTCCATGCTTTTATAATTGTGTCAAAATGAATTCTAATGTTATGTATAACTAATATGAGCCAATAAGAATGAAATAATCCCCATATGAAGACAAGAGCAGTTTGTATAATGAAAACATATTTATGATGCAATGAAGAAATTTAAAATATTGGTGATTCTTAAGTTTTTCTGTTTCTTGAAACAAATCAACAACAGTAATACTTAAAGTATATTAATATTTATTTTCAACATTTCATCTCACATAGGAAATGGACATCTAGATCGAGGCATATGTGCTAGGAAACGTAGAAGTTATTGCAAACATATCATTTAATTACTACAATATCACAATGGGGTAAATCTCGGCAAATTTATTTCCAAAGAGAAACTGAGTCCAATTAATTTAGTTAACTTAGTTAAGGGAAAGTACCAACACCACTATGATAATGAAATTCTGACTGAATTCAAAGCTCAGGTCTTAAGGATCCACAGCATACACATCTGTCACCTGCAAGAGCACCCTGGCCTGAAGCAGTTCACCCTGACCTGCTCTTGCTTCATTAATGGCTACAGGGATTGAGCATTTCAACTTTTCTTGTACCTAAGGTTTTCCTATAATGCTGTAGGCTCCTTTGATCAGCATCTCCCCAGCTCTCCTTTCTACTCCACAGAAAGAATACAAAAGAAAAGATGCATAGAGTGGCAACTAACAATAGAACACTCAAGTCTTCTGCCACAAGGAAAAGCCCTAAATACCAGATGGTTGTCCCACATTACAGTTATATCTAGACATGGCTAATTGTATTGCACAGACTATGGAAGATCACAGGTTTGTTTTGCAGTCTTTAAATGTATTTATTTTAATAAAAATAATACCAGCCTCAATAATAAAAAGTTTTATAAAACAAAACTAGAACTGAAGTGGTCTTAACAGCAGACTCTGGGTATTTGCAAAATGAAAATTCAGAAGAAACAATTATTACTATTCTGAAGAGTGCAAACTGGTGGGGAGATTAACAGACTAAATTTTCTGTAATCACAAAAGCATGTATTTAGTTACTGTTATGTATAAGACACTTAATTAGGCATTTTATATTTATTGACATTTAGTTTCACATAATGATCTTAACTAAGGTACAGTTTGAAATCGCAATTTGTATTTGAGAAAAAAAGAACCGTAACATTTATTTACCATTACACAGTTTATTACAGAGGAAACAGGATTTGAATTAAATCCTCTGAAGATGACTCTTCACTCTGGGTAAATCTATAGTGGATGTTTTTCTCTCAAGTCCCCAATAAACCTTGGGTATCCTGGGCAAACTGACATTTGCTCAAAGACTCCTCAGTTTTTGATCATCCTGGTCACAGGAGTGATTTGTGTGGATTGTTCTAAATAACACATATGGGTGGCCAAGAGGCTTTGCTACTCTCTTCAGATCAGTGGCAGGGAAATATGAAGAAATGAGAGGGCACGGATATTTTAAACAATGATCCATCTTTATTTTGGTGCCAGAGATTGAATCCAGGAGTATTTAATCACTAAGCCACATCCCCAACTCCCTGTTTTCGTTTTTTAAATTTTGAGACAGGATCTTGCTAAATTGCTGAGGCTGGCTTTGAATTTGTGATCCTCCTATCTCCTATCTCAGCCAGAGCTCCTGGGATTACAGGTGTGCCACCACGCTCAGCATAACAATTCTCCATCTTTACAAGGGATTCGATGTCTATCTTTGAGAATATGAGGAAGAATAAATGGGTACAAAAGCATCTCTCCTAACTTAAACCAGATACACCATAGTGTATCTCATCTCAAGGATGAGTAGAAATTCTCAAGTAGAGAAGGGAGACCACAGGGATGAAAGACCACAGGATGAAAGGTGCAGATGTGTTCAGAAGCAGGAGAGGAGCCTCTAGACAAGGAATCCAAAAGTAGGAGATGAGGGAATAAGAAAATTCAGCAGTTTGGTAGGCACAGTGTCATGGGGGCTGGACATTTATAAAGATTGAAATATGCATAAGCAGGCTGAGAAAAATAACATTTAGAGAATTTGTAGATGAGTGACCCATGGTTTGTGACGTTGAGAAATGAGACTATGCCTGCTTCATAGTCGAGAAAAACCCCAACACGACGGGGAGGAATAGCCATAAAGAGGGCCAACACCTTAGGATCAGAGCTGGAAGAATCCTCAAAGACGATATATTCAAAGTTATTCTGTAAACCTATAACCCAGTAGCCGTACTTAGGTCTGTATGTGGAGGACACATTTGTATGATTCGCATCTTTTCTCTCAGCATACTTTGCAGAACGTTTTCTACAGTGTACTCCCAGGATCCAGCTGGTCTTTTTGGATACATCAACTTCCCAGTAATGTTTCCCTGAAGAGAAATGTTGGGAGCTTAAGATGCCACAATCGTAATGCTTAAGTGGCCAAATACACACGCTTGTTACTTGTCTCTCATCTTCCGAAAGTGCAAGATTCAAATTTAAGTTGCCTGGATTCAATGTTAAGTCCACTGCAAGGGAAAATGAAAAAAGATCAGTGACAGACATGGAACAGGTTTATCTGGTCTCACTGTGAAGAGGGCACGTGGGAAATGCACTTGGAGCAAAGTTGGGTTGATGGATTGGGGGAGGGGTGGAATGCTAGAGAAATGTCTGTGAGACCACAAGAGGCTCAGATGATAAGATCTCATTAAACACAAGCTTCTGAGGTGATCCAAATACAGTGATCTGAAGACCCTGCAACTTCTTACCCCAGTAGCATTGGGCATCTGTTAGCTCTGAAATGAGAAAAGATGCAATGATTTTGATTAGAAGCAAAGAAAACTAGAAGCACCAATATCTATCTCTTATCCAAAGTAGAGGCAAGGGATGGCATATGGTGAAGCTGTGAACTGCAAATGAGAGGATGAGCCAGATGCCTGGCCATTCTCCTTCACTCCTGATCATATCCTCTATGTCACAGAAGACCCTTTCTCTGACCTCCCTCCTCTCTTCCATCCTCATTCTTAGACTAGACCTGCTACCCTTGATGCCACAAAAATTCCTTATCCATACTCTTCCCCTGCTCTACTGACCTCTGAAGCTCTGCAGCATCCCCCTCAGATCTGGAGCACGGAATACAGTCTTCAGCTTCTTGGAGACAGTTTTTGGCTTCTTCAGAGTCCAGATCTCACTCCTAGGAATGACAGAATATCTTTACCCCCACATTTTTCATCTTGTGTCCCGCCAACACCACTGCCTTCTTATCCTTCCACATCATGGATACCTCTTCCCTAAAGAACCCAAGGGAAAAAGCTTCGAAAGTGGAGTCAGAAGAAATACACTGTGTGAAATATGCTCCCACGTACCCGCTGTGTGACCTTGGGAGGATCTGCACCTCTTGAAAGCAATAGTTCCCTCTTCTAAAAATGGAATACTTGATACTTCATGGAAATAATTCAAAATTAGATGAAATAATGCATAGAAAAAGTCTTTGCTACTTCTGAAAAAGTTACATGATATGGAAAAGTCCTTTCACTTCAGTGGGTCTCTCTGGGAGGGCCAGGTACGTGGATGCCTGAGCAATCAACAGTGAAGCTGCAGGTCCTGGTTGTGACATGGGTACTCTGTGTGTACCAGTCCAGAGCCTGAATCCCAGAGTCCACATTAGAGATTTCAGATTCTATGGGGAAGTTACAAACACTTGGCAAAGAAGCTATGATTACCGAAGTGAATATGGTCAGAATTTCTTGTGTTTGTGTAGAATTTGATGCCACCAGGTGGGCTGGCAACCACAGACACAAGGACTAAGTTTTTTTCATATGAGTTTCTAAAGCAAATAAACAAAAAGAGATTGATTATTGGCAACATGGGTCAAAGCCACTAACTCCAAGGCTTGGTTCTGTCTTAAGAAATATAGTGAGAACTGTATAGAATGACCCGATTCCTTCTATTCCCATGTAAGAAAAGAAAATATAAGAAACTGTCCCTTCCAAGTGTGGTGGTGCATGCCCATAATCCCAGAGTCTTGGGGATCTCAAGTTTGAGGACAGCCTTGGCAATATAATGAGACCCTGTCTCAAAAGGGCTGGGGTAGAGCTCAGTGGCAAAGCACCGTTGAGTACCTGAGTACCTTGAGTACCTGAGTACCACCCTAGTACCAGAAGAAAAAGGAAGAGGAGGAGGAGAAGAAGGAGGGAGAGGAGGAGGAGAAGAAAAAAAGATATTCCCTATGGTCTATTTTAGGACTTGACAGAGCCCTTTATGTGGTAAGACAGCACTTGAGAAATAAGGGACCCAGAACTGTGTGCAGGGACCAAGGGTAAGTGAAATGAGGGAAGTCTCAGGAGTCCTAGTGTGGAACTCCTTACCCCTAATAAACTTTCTGACCATAACTCTGAACTCCAACCACCAAATTCACCAACATAGAATCTGTTCAGTTCTCAGTAGATATGGAACACTCAGAGCCTCACCTATAGCCAATAAGTGAAGATAATACAGCATCCAAATTTCCCTGACATGGGACATTTTTTCATTCTGACTGAAATGTTTCTAATGGCTACAAACCTTCCTTTATAGTATAAAAGCACTATTCGTTGTCACCCATATGTACCATTTCATGATTCCACTTGTGTCCTAGGAAGAAGAGAAAATATAGAAATCAGATCATTATTATCCAAAGTACATGTATGAAGACACAAATTGGTGTGAATATACTATGTATGCAACCAGAGATATGAGAAGTTGTGCTCTATATATGTAATAAGAATTATAATGCATTCTGCTGTTATATATAAATAAAAAAGAGAAAGAAAAAAAAAGTATTAGGATTAAACTGGGGATAGTGGTTCAAGCCTGTAAACCGAATGATTTAGGAGGCTGAGGCAGGAGGATCTCAGGTTCAAGGACAGCCTCAGTAATTTGGCAAGGCCCTTAGCAACTTGGCCAGGCATTGTCTCAAACAGAAAATCAAAAGGGTTGGGGATAAAACATCCCTGAGTCCAATCCCCAGAACCAAAAGAAAAAGCTTTAGGCTTACAGCAGGATTCATGAAAGAAAGAATAGACAAATATGAAAGACAATCAGACAAATCAAAACAGAGTTCTTTAAAAATATCAACAAAATGAACATGCCTTCAGCTAGACATATGAAGAAAAACAGAGAGGAGATGAATTGGTAAAATTAAGAATGAAAGATGAGGCATCACTATTGACCTTACACAAATTAAAAAGTGTAAGGGGTTTGGGGTGTAGCTCAGTGGTAGAGAGCTTGCCTAGCATGTGTGAGGCCCTGGGTTTAATCCACAGCACCAGGGACAAAAAAAGAACTGTAGATTATAAACAGTTCTACACCAATAAATTAGATAACCTAGATGAAATGAACAAATCTTAGAAATACAGAAACTACCAATACTAATTGAAGAAGACAGAAAATATAGATAGATACAAAACATGTAAAGAAATTACATTGGAAGTCAAAGACTTTCTACCAAAAAATCACCAGATGATTTCATTGGTGAATTCTGCTGGAGACTTTAATATATATGTCAATATTTTGTGATAGTAAAAGCAAATGTGACTCCATTTTATTTTGTGACTCCATTCTGTAAAACAACCATGCCAAGTAGAAGGGTCATGACTGGGGCAAGATGTTCTTTTCCTTTTGCTATAGAAACCTTTAAGAACATGGAACTACCTAATGGGGCATTGTTTCTGTTACTAGGGTAATGGGGTTCTGTTTCTGTAACTGGGGTGACTGGGCTAACTGTGATTGGTTAGGCTTCCTGCCGCTTGACTATACTCTTCTGCTTCTGTAACCTGGCTTGCTTGCATTGGCTAGACCCCCGAACATCCCTTTTGTGGTTTTCAGGCTTATAAGGAGTGCCCTTGCAATTGTTCAGGGCTGATCAGGGGAACAGCTTTATGTTCTGGTCAGTCGCCACCAGTGTACTTCAATAAAGACTTGATTCGATTATATGTGAGTGGTCTGGAAGTCAGTTTATGAAACCGCAGGATGAAGCTTTAACTATAACAATTTCACGAATTCTTCCAAAAAACAGAAGAGGAGGAAACACTTCCCAACATAGTATCTGAGACCAGCCCTACCCTGATACTAAAATCACACAAAGATATCACAAGTTAAAACAAAACAAAAAACAATCCCCCAGCCAATATTCCTTATGAAGATAGACATAAAATTTTTCTTTTTTTTTTTTTTTGTTTTTGTTTTGTTGTTTTTTTTTTTTTATTTTTTTTTTAATTTTTTATTGTTGGTTATTCAAAACATTACATAGTTCTTGATATATCATATTTCACCCTTTGATTCAATGGGTTATGAGCTCCCATTTTTACCCCATATACAGATTGCAGAATCACATCAGTTACACATCCATTGATTTACATATTGCCATACTAGTGTCTGTTGTGTTCTGCTGCCTTTCCTATCCTCTACTATACATAAAATTTTTCAAAAAATACTGAAAAAAATCAAATCTAGGAAAAAAATCATGACTACTCTAAGCATGATGGGATTTAATTCAGAAATGCAAGTATGGTCAGCCAAGAAAATGAATCAATGTAATACTTCACATTAATAGAATAAAGAATAAAAACTGCATAATGATCCCCAAGGAGGCAAAAAAAAAAGTACTTGATAAAATTTCACATGCTTTCAAGATAAAAGCAAAAGAGGAAGGGTCAACAAATTAAGAGCAAAAAGGAGCTGCTTTTTCCTGATCAAGGGCATCTACAAAACCCTAGCGCTAGCACATACTAAATCGTCAAAACCTGAATGCCTTTCCCCCAAGATCAGGAAAAAGGTGAGAATGAATGCCTTCATCACTCCTATTCAACATAGACTATTATTAGCTATAAAAATAAAGCAACAGGCTTGTTTCCAGAACCTCAGATGAGGTGATTCCTCTACCTGCAGTAGCTCCAGTGTTGACCATTGACTCCGACGCTCTAGATCTGAGAGGAGCTCTTTCACCAACTGCTTCTGATAGACCAGCTCATCCTCTGCTTCTGCCAAGCTATCCAGTGTCGTCTTCTCCTCCCGATCCAATCTTTGTAGCTCTCGCTCTTCCTCGCTGTCCAGGATTCTTCTAAGATGATTAAATTCCATTTGTATCCTTTTTCTCTCAGTCTCTACCTGACACTGCAAAGATAGGCAGAGAGAGAGAGAGAGAGAGAGAGAGAGAGAGAGAGAGATGCAATGAGTCTGTTGAGGGTCTACGGTGTAATATATTAGGAGCCAGGAGGAAAACATTTTTCAGGAACTTCGAGCCAGGAGTATAGAAGCAGGAGAGCAATTCTGGGGGAATTGGTTTTTATTTCTCCCTACTATTTTCCTTTCAGTACCTACTAAAGCAATGACCTCAGACAATATTTCCTAGGCCCACACTCATTGGGGCTTGACTTGTAAACTGTTACCCCAGATACTCATGACTACCCATTATCATGCTCCTCGTTTTTGAACCTTGAAGAAATCTTTGGTCTTTTGCCCAGTGCCCTCCTACAAAGTGTAGGAGCTTCAGAGGAAAAGAAAAAGGGAAGACAGTATTCTCTAGGCTTCTGCACCATGCAGTCCATCACAGTGCTCAATTTCAAATATTTTGTGTACCATGACATATCCGCTCTCCAGCCCTCCCCCACAACAAGAAACTAATCAAATGGCTGCTGGATTTATTCTGAGTCGGGGGACAAAGATGTAGGGGCTCCTTGGATTAGAACCAAAGGTCCTGCCCAAGTTTCCTGTGTAAGAATCTCTCAGGGAGAGTTTTTTCCTGCCTTCCAAGAAGTGATCTCTTCTTGGATATCAGCTTCCAACTTCTCAGCTTCTTCTTGTTCCTTCCTCAGCCTCTTGAGAACTGCTTGGAGCTTGTCCTGTGGGAGAGGAATCACACCAGAATCAAGCATGGAGGTTTCTCCATCCTTGGACAGAGGATGAACCTGGATAAAACCAGGTTGACCTCAGAAGACAATAGAGTTTACAAAAGCTGTGAGATTGATGATTAAAATCTATGACATGGGAGGAAATTGGAAGTGAATGTATTCATTATTCCTGGGGGACGAAAATGATGATCTCACCAACAGCAGCCTGCTTCTCTTTTCTTAGGGTGAGTACAGACTCTACAGCACATTCAACCACATTCAACCCACAATGTTCCCCCCATGATCATCCTGCTGAAAGGAGCAGTTACAGCTAAATTTGAGAAAGAATTCTCTACTTACAATGAAAGGAAGACTCACCACCACCACCACCACTACCAAATCTACTCTGGCTAAGACCCTAGGATCACCCCTTATGTAAATGAAGGGAATATACAGACTCCAGGTATTAGAAACTGAATGTAGGGTCAACATGAGTAAAGAAAAATGGAAAAGTGAGATTTCTTACTCAGGACCACCTTTTGCCCTTTCTCTCTCCATCAAGGGACCTACCTGACATTCCTTGGTCACTTCATCCATGAGTAATGTTCGGTGCCCACGGTGCTCTTGAGAACGCTCACAAAGCCAGCAAATTACCTTCCTATCCTCCACACAGAAGAGTAGGAGTTTCTCTCCATGGCATGCACATAAGTCTGCATTTTGCACAGTGCTAGGGCTCAACTTGACTTCCCTGAGTCCTTCTGCTACGTCAGCTGGAGGCTGATTAGCTTTGGTATTTCCAAATAAGTTCCTGGTACTACATATGAAACACCTGTTTTCCCCTCCTGGGCTGGTCACAGATTTCTTGTTCCTAGAGATGCATGTTTGGCAATAGCTGTGACCACAGCCTAGAGTCAGTAGCTCTGTTAAATGCTTTAGGCAGATGGGACATTTTGCCTTTTCTTGTGTGTTCACCAGGGTTTTTGAAGCCATCGCATTTCTTCCCTGGCTTCCTCCAGTTATAACTCCTGATGCTTTTCTTGTGTAGATCCTTCTGGATGACTAGGCAAATTAAAAAAGGATGGTGTTAGAATGGCAAGAATAAGGATTCTAACTGTGTGCACATTAAAGACTGATCAAGACCACACTCTGGAGGAACCAAAAGAAGGAGAGGGAGAAATCAGAAATGAAATTCAATGGCCCAGTTGAGCCACTGATTCCCCAGGGTTTTTGTTCTTGCTCTTTGCTGATCTTCCTATTGATATTTGCATGGCTTTTATACTTCCTTCAACTCTCTCCTTACATGGTTCCTCATTAGACAGGACTACTCTAACTCATCTATTGAACAACAAATGCATCACTGAATGAATGCACATTAGCCATCACAAAATCTTATATGTGTGAATGCTTGGCACCCAGTGCAGCAATATTCAGAGTTGGCACTTTAAGGAAATGATTGGATCATGAAAGCTTTGACCTCAATACTGGATTAATCCACTGATAGCTGAATGAACCACTGGAAGGTGGTGGAAACTATATGCAGGTAGGGCTTGGTTGGGGAAGTATGTCCTTGGGACTTAACTTGTCCCTAGATTTTCCCTCATAATCTTTGTCATCTTTCTGGATACCATGAGCTGAGTAGTTTTCCTCTGCAATGCCCTTCCACCTGCCTCACCTGGGGCCCAAAGCAATGGAGCTGGCCAACCGTGGACTGAAACCTCTGAAATCATAAGTGAAAACAAGCCTTTTCACCTTTATCTTGTTATGCCTGGTATTTTGGTCATAGCAACCAAACATGACTAATATAATACCCAGTTCTAAGTTAGAGTAGAAGTGGAGGAATCCAGACCAGTTGTCGTGTTGAGTCTTGTGTTTGTAGGCGATGGGATTTTTATCTTGGTCTAAAAAATATGTCAGGGATGTTGACAGGAACCTAAAGATGTATATTTGTAGGTTTGGGGAGATGGTATAAATAAATCATATTCATCTCTGATACCTAAGAAAATAAATTCCAGTGGGATAACTGTTGGTCAGAAGAGAGATGTCTCAATATCATAAAGGGAGACCATAGCATGGAGAGATATTTTAATCCATATTTATATATTTGATGTGAGTTATTTATATATTCATTCACCAAAACAAATTATCACTGAAGATAAATTGTCTTCAATGAATAAAATCTAGAAAATGGATTAAAATCAAAAGTCCAAAATTGAACATAAACAGATAACACTGGCCATAATAAACTTAGTGGTCAACTAAACAAGACAGAAGCTAGTTAAATAATCTTTTTTTTTTTAACACTTATTTTTTAGTTGTAACTGGACATAATATCTTTATTTTATTTATTTATTTTTATGTGGTGCTGAGGATGGAACCTAGGGCCTTGCACATGCTAGGTGAGCACTCTACCGCTGAGCCACCATCCCAGCCCCTTAAATAATCTTTAACAAAGGTGTAAAAGTATAAGCACTACTATACAGAGGTATATGCTTTGAGGAAATCCAATAATGTGCCAAAGGGAATATCCAAGATATTCTCCTTAAATGGTTAAAAGGTGAATTGAAAGCTGAATGATGAGAAGGGAATATGGAATGAGGAAGAGGAGAAATATTTTTAGGTAAATGGAATCACATTGGTAAATGCCCTGTGGAAAGAAGACAGCATCTCAAATTTCAAGTTGCTATTGTGGCTGGTGGGCAGAAAGTGATAATTTGCTTTGCTGAATGAATATATAAATAACTCACATCTAACAAGGTAATAAGCTAGGCCTTTAGCAATCCTGCAGGACCCGGCTATCTGACACTTCCCAAGTGAAGTGAAAGTGATGGTCTATTTCCAAAAGCAACACCCTCTTTCCATCATTGGATGGGAGGAAGGAGGACAAGTTGATGGAGGAAACAGAAGCAGAAAAAAAAAAACTGAAGAAATATGATGAGGTAAAAGAAAGAAGATTGGGAATTAAATTGGACATGTGAGGGAAGAAAAGGATTATCACTAGGCATAAGGTCTTACTTCCAATACAAAGGACACTGGGATTACCTGCTCCTAGTATTTTCTTTTTTAAATTATGTTTTTTTGGCAAGCACAGACCTTGTTTTCACAAAAGAGTTGTGATATATATATATATATGGACCCTTTAGGTCCTTAGAAACTGTGTTCTGACTCTAATAAGGTACTCAGTATGTTGGAATGAGGTTATGTAAGCTACATTAGTTTACATATACTTGTAAACTTTCCAACACATATAGTTGTTCTCTTTAAAAATGAGCTTTCGTGGGACTTGGTGGCGCATACCTGTAATCCCAGCAGCTCAGGAAGTTGAGGCAGGAGGATCGAGAATTCAAAGCTAGCCTTCCGCAACTTAGCAAGACACTTAGCAATTCAGTGAGACCTTGTCTCTAAACAAAATATAAAAAAGGGCTGGGGATGTGGCTCAGTGGTTGAGCACCCCTGGGTTCAATCCTCAATACCAAAAAAGAAAAAAAAAAGATCTTTCAACAGAGGGATGGAATCCTTTTCATCATTGTGAGGATCCTCTCTGTGCTGGATGCTGTATGTCCCTGCCTGTATCCCCTTGTTAAGCAAATGAACTTGGATGTATGTGATGTTAACATGTGTGAGTTTCCTCTTCCACAACTTTCCACCAAGGTGTTCTGCCTCATCTGGGACCCAGAGCAATGAAGTTGGCAGTCTATGGAATAAGACTTCTGAAACCATGAATGCTAAATAAACTTTTCCTACTCTAAAATTGTTCTTGTCAGGTTTTTTGGTTAAAGCAATGAAAAACACACTAAAACAGTCCCCCACAAAGGTATGTTCAGCTGTGTGAATGTGACTTTATTTGGAAATAAGATTTTTGTAGATGTAATCAAGTTGAGGTCTTACAAGATAGGATGGGTCCTAAATCCAATGGCTTGCATCCTTGTAGAGAAGGGGACACACAGTCACATAAGGAAGCAGAGGCAGGATTTGGAGTGATAAAGCTGCAAGCCAAAGAATGCTTAGATTGCTAGAAACTACTGGAGGTTAGAGGAGGTATAAAACAGATTCTCATTTATAGCCTCCTGAAGGAACCAAGTCTACTATGAACTTGATTTTTAACTACTGGCCTCCTGAACTTTTGAGAGAATGAATTCCTGTTGTTTAAGGTAATCTAAAATATGGTAATTTTTACAATATACCTAGGAAACTAATACAGTTAAAAAGGTTTGAGCTGGGTGCCATCTATAATCCCAGTGACTCAAGTAGCTGAGGTAGGAGGGTCACCAATTTGAGGCCAGCCTGGGCAACTTGGTCTGTCTGAAGATGTAGTTCAGTGATGGAACACCCTTGGGTTTAAAACCCAGTACTACCAAAAAAAAAAAAAAAAAGAAAAGAAAAGAAAAATAAAAAGTTTCATAGTGTAAGACCTGCAATATGTGATAACCAATAAATACCATCTCCCAGCTCTTCAAAAGAATCATGGAGCATGATGAAAGATGTACAGAGATATTTCAGGCATAGGGATCAACTTGCTCCCTCAACCTCATCCATAAAATGAACCTAATAAGATTAAAATTGGGCTGGTGGGTTTAATCTAGACAATAGTCCAATACTAAAAGTCATCTAAAGGACAAATGCTGTTAGGTCCTGGCTACAGTGACTACCTATAGGTCATACCAGGCTCTCATGACTAGCAAGATTTACATGATATATACTCACTTGTTATGACTAAAGCTATGAACTGATCATATATGTGGAATTCTCTGTTATCTTTGCTTCCTCTTAGTATCTTACGGAAACTGAGAAACCCCAAGGACCTACAGAGGAGGAAGTAGTGGAAAATGCCTTCTGCCATGGAGCTGTGACCACATCTCCACAGCTGGGCGACAAGTTGCTGACAAAGCAGCTGCCACCTTTACAGCCAAAGAATGAGGAAGGTACAGAGGAGTCAGATTCCCGAATGTGGGCAATGATTTCACTGCTGCCCAGGAGAAACCCAAGCCCAGCAGCATGCAGGGAAGTAGAGAAGAAAACATGAGTGGCATCTTTCTGATAGAATTCCCAGGTCACCTGGCTACTGTGAAGTAGGAACTCCTGAAACAGAGATCTCTGAAATAAAAAGGTTTATTGAGCCATTACAGATGCTAGTCAACAAGAATCAGTCCCAGGACAAGTTCCCTCGGCTAGGTGGCAGTTGGAAAAATGTCTGCCAGATCTAAGCCAGAGAAATTTATAATGAAAACAGAAGGAAGGAAGGCAGAGAGGGGTTATTTACACTGAATCTACATGGGTTATTAAAAAGAAGGGCAGGCTTACACCACCTTTTGGGATAGATGGGCAGTATGGAACCTTGAAGGGTTGAGAGGATTTAAGGTTTTAATTGTCATGAATGTAAAATGGTGCTTTGGTGTTTGTGGCCTGTAGCTTGTAACTAATTAACCTCCTTGCCACCTTCTCTCTCTTCCCACTTCCACTCCACTTTGTAATTAAATTTAGGGCACCTCAGAAGTCTTTCCTTATCACTACATGGGTGTCAAGTGATTGCACCCAACACTTGAGTCTTTCCCTACCATCTGCACTAGTGTAAATGCAAACTATGTCTCTCTGCAGGTTAAGTAGTAAAATTGGAGTGTGTTTTAAGAAGTGAACTTTAGGGAAGACTGTCCTTTGAAGTTTTCAGACAGTCAATGAATTCCCAAGTCACTTTTTACTATGGTACCATTTTCAATTAGGATAAGTTGAGAGTGTTTTCTTCAAGTTAGCTTCAACCACGTCCACTGCCACCACACTGTTACAAGCCACCTGTTTATTCTGCCTGCCTGGGTTCCAGAAAATTGTCTGCTGCTGGTGTTCCTAATACTTTCATTGTCTTTCTTACTGGGCTCTCTTCACTGTTTTCTTAGGATACTGACTGCAGGAAGCCTCTTAAAAGCAGATGACAATCAAGTTACTCCTCTGCTCAAACCCAGCTTTAATGATGGTCCAGTTAGGGCTAGATCATACCTCTCCTTTCCCAGCAGCATCCCTCTGAGCCCACCTGCTATTCTCACTGCAAACTCTTGCCCAACCAACCCTGTCCTACTTCCAATGTCTGAGAAAATCCTAGCCTGTATTAAAAGAGTTTAAATTCCTCACATTCTTCAGATTCTATTCAAAGTTCTCCTTACAAGGAGGGATAGATGAAAAATTACTTAAATTTGAAAGGCCTTTTTCAGGTCTCTTTTGAACCCATAACAGCACAATTCACAGTAGCCAAGCTGCAGAACAAATCTATGTGCCCTTCAACAGATGAATGAATGTATCTATACATATAGATACATACATAGCACATGTTTATGTATATCATGCTAAGGGAAACAAGCCAGTCTCCAAAAAAATCAAAAGTCAAATGGTTTATCTGATACTGTAACAGTGGTCCCTTCACCTTCTGAATGTAGCCGTCATTGCTCTAAGGCTGTTTTTGTTGTTGTTTTTGTTTTGATGTTTTTTTCTCTCTGCTCTTCTCTCCCCCTCCCTAACAAGATTAGGGAGAAAGTGTTCTTTTCTTCCCCTAGTTAACTGCCCTTGAACACACCCACTATAGGAAGGAGATGACTGCTGAGGATCTGAGAAGTGAATATCTCCCAAATTAACAAGTGAATCCTAACAGGCCACCAGGGTACCCTGGGACCCTCTAGCAGAGCACACCTGGAACATAACCCTTGAAGGATTCCTTTAAAACCCCACAGCCCCTCCTGAGCAATAGAGTCACAGCCTTTGGGATAGAAGTCCCCTGTGTTTCTCCTTTGCTAGCAAAGCAATAAAACTTCTTTTTCCTTTTTCTCAAAACCATGTCCTCATTATTAAATTGGCATTGATAGGCTTTGGGCACAGGGACTGAGCTTTCAGTTACACTATGTGGAAGTTAATCCAACCTAGTGGGAGATAAGATCAATGGAGTAGGCAAAGTGGACTGAAGAAGAGGGAGGAGGTATGGGATAAGGAAAGAACAGTGGAGTGAATCTAATCTAATTTTCCTATGTTCATATATGAGCATCCCACAGTGAATCTCACTATCATGTACATTTTGAAGACACTAATTAAAAAAAAAAAAAACTAAGTAAATAGCAGAAAGATCAGTAGAGTATAGGGAAGGGAACAGGCAGAGGGAAGAAGGGAACAGGCAAAGGGAGAAATAGAGGGAAAGGAGAAGTACTGAGGACTGAATCACAACAAATTATAATCCATGCTTTTGTAAATTTGTCAAAATGAATCCTAATGTTATGTAAAACTAAAAAGAACCAATAAAGAAAAAAAAATAAAACAACCCTGTAATATCGGTAATTTTGTATCTTCTATCTTCTTGTGTGTATACACACACACACATATATGTATATACGTATATATATATATGTATATATGAATAATATATTTTGTATATTCTTATATATCTTCTTGTATATTCTATTAATTACTTATTGTTTGTTTTCATTCCCTAACTAGGATGTAAGCTCCTATATGTATTTCATATTTATTAAAAGTTGAATGAATGGGGCTGGGGATGTGGCTCAAGCGGTAGCGCGCTGGCCTGGCATGCATGCGGCCCGGGTTCGATCCTCAGCACCACATACAAACAAGGATATTGTGTCCACCGAAAACTAAAAAATAAATATTAAAATTCTCTCTCTCTCTCTCTCTCTCTCTCTAAAAAAAAAAAAAAAGTTGAATGGATGGTCACTGAAGCTTTTCACATCAGCAACCTGCTTTAGTTCCTTCAAATTGAGCTTTTTATAACTAAGTCAGTCCATTTTGGCCTGTATCTTGCTAGATCAGCATCTGGGCAGAAGCAAACCCTCCCCAGGAGTCAGGCAGACTCATAGCAAGGCAGGTACAGTCAACTCTGAGAAATGGGAGTGAGGGACAGCATGGTGGGTATCAGAATGCACCTAACACCCATCAAGGCCAATTGCTCACAAGTGAGCCTCAAATGGGAAATACTCAGGGTCAACAGACAGCAAGTTGATTAGCAAGACCATTGCAACTTTAGGTTCTCCCTGAAAATAACCTACTCTTGATAATTAGCTCTGAGCAAAGAAAATAGTAATAAATGGAGGTAACAATCAATGCAAAGGTGCGGGGTAGGATTAAAAAAAAAAAAGAGGACATAAAGGAAATGAAAATTTAATACAGAAGTTCCACATACCTTTCCAGGCTGTCACTCTCTAAACCACCTTTTGTCTCACAAGCTTGTCACTCCCAAATTCCTAGGAAATCTCTACATCTTAAAGTTTTTTTTTTTCTTTTTTTTTTATTGGTTGTTCAAAACATTACAAAGCTCTTGACATATCATATTTCATACATTAGATTCAAGTTGGTTATGAACTCCCAATTTTACCCCTAATACAGATTGTAGCATCACATCGGTTACACATCCACATTTTTACATAATGCCCTATTAGTAACTGTTGTATTCTGCTACCTTTCCTATCCTCTACTATCTCCCCTCCCCTCCCCTCCCATCTTATCTCTCTACCCCATCTACTGTAATTCATTTCTCTCCTTGTTTATTTTCCCATTCCCCTCACAACCTCTTATATGTAATTTTGTATAACCATGCGGGTCTCCCTCCATTACCATGCAATTTCCCTTTTCTCTCCCTTTCCCTCCCACCTCATGTATCTGTTTAATGTTAATCTTTTCTTCCTGCTCTTCCTCCCTGCTTTGTTCTTAGTTGCTCTCATTATATCAAAGAAGACATTTGGTATTTGTTTTTTAGGGATTGGCTAGCTTCACTAAGCATAATCTGCTCTAGTGCCATCCATTTCCCTGCAAATTCCATGATTTTGTCATTTTTTAGTGCTGTGTAATACTCCATGGTGTATAAATGCCACATTTTTTTAATCCATTCATCTATTGAAGGGCATCTGGGTTGGTTCCACAGTCTAGCAATTGTGAATTGTGCTGCTATGAACATTGATGTAGCAGTATCCCTGTAGTGCGCTCTTTTAAGGTCTTCAGGGAATAGTCCGAGAAAGGCAATAGCTGGGTCAAATGGTGGTTCCATTCCCAGCTTTCCCAGGAATCTCCACACTGCTTTCCAAATTGGCCGCACCAGTTTGCAGTCCCACCAGCAATGTACAAGAGTACCCTTTTCCCCACATCTTCTCCAGCACTTGTTGTTGTTTGACTTCATAATGGCTGCCAATCTTACTGGAGTGAGGTGGTATCTTAGGGTGGTTTTGATTTGCATTTCTCTGACTGCTAGAGATGGTGAGCATTTTTTCATGTACTTGTTGATTGATTGTATGTCCTCCTCTGAGAAGTGTCTATTCAGGTCTTTGGCCCATTTGTTGATTGGGTTATTTGTTTTCTTATTGTTTAATTTTTTGAGTTCTTTGTATACTCTGGATATTAGGGCTCTATCTGAAGTGTGAGGAGTAAAAATTTGTTCCCATGATCTACATCTTAAAGTTAAACCTAAGTCCATTTACTTGTGATGACTATCTTGAGCACTGTTAATTACTTCCTCCACCAATAAATGGATTAGGTAAAGATAGAGGGTATTTTGAGAAACCTGTAATTTTTTAGGGGGACTTTCCTGCACTATCATTGATCAGATAATGAAGACTAGTTCAGTATGAGGATCCTAAGACTGACCAGACTGCTATAATCTCCTTGAGATCACCCTACTGATATCATTCCTACATACCTTCCCTTTTCCACTTCTCACAAAGTTTCCTTTAAAAAGTGCTGGGAGTCCCAAAAACCATCTCTCACTGTAGAAGTGACCCACATTTCCCCTTGAATACCTACCCCTTCCTAGCCTAAATAAATATCTGTGCCTCTACTGACACCTGCTGAAATTCTTTTCTATCAATTATACCAAAGACCCCACTGGTCCTGAGAAGTTTCCTTCTCTCTCTGAGAACCCCTTGGGACTCTCTTCTGATTATAACTCTTTTCCCAGAATAGGTGTGCACAAGAGGAAGAATGATGAACAATTTCCAAGGCAGGGGAGGATAGAGGATTACATGTACTTCTGAAGTGAGAGTAAGCAAGTCAGGTGAAGAGGCACACACCTGCAGACCCAGCTACTGAGGCAGGAGGGTCCCAAGTTGAAGGCCAGCCTGGGCAACCTTGCAAGACCCTGTCTCAAGAGGAAAAATAGAAAGGGCTAGGAATGCAGCTCAGGGGCGGAGCACTTGCCGGAAGCCCTGGGTTCTTTCCCCAGCACTGAAACAAAACATCAAAGTAATCAAGTGTATACAGAGAAAAACAAGCGACTGGAGCTCCAGGACACAAACTAAAAGGGGACAAAGAAGCAGACAGCAGTCAGGTCATCTAACCAGCTGTCCTGGGGTAGGCCAAGGGCTAGGGACAGGACAGGAAGCCAAAGCCTCTCCATGGTTGCCAGGAGGCAGGTGAAAAGCGACATTCCATCTGCCATGGGCTGTGTTCTATCTGCTGCTAACAAGTTCACCTCAGGAGCTTGGGCTTTCACAAATCCAGGGTCCCTGAAATACAGGGACCCCTCTCCTCTGAGGAGGTAGAGTGGAACACACATGAAGAAGCCTTCTGTTTCTCTCTCTGAAAAACAGAGGCCAAGGAGATTCCATTTTCCCTCCTGAGGTAGAAAAATCAAACCTACAGAACAGGAAGGCTGTTTAACAGGGATGGACTTGGCCTGGAGAAACAAGCACTCCTCTAGGAAATAAACAAGACCTCGGCCTCCTCATCACTCTCTTTCAAGGCAGTTAAGACTGTCTGCACTCCCTTCAGAGCAGACCAGTCTCTGAGCAGGAATTAAACTCCCCCGACTGACTTCACTTGTTATTTTCCTCCCAGGGTCTCCCACCCTCTGCCCCCTCCCCACACACCTTCAGGCCCCAGCAGGGAAATCTCAACTCCTGGTTAAAGTGGTGGAGAAAAGCCAGGACAGGATTCACTCACCACAAGCTGCTCAGCTGCAAGTAGTCCCTCCCTCCCAAAAGCTGGCTGAGAAACGAAAGTGAAATTCTTGGGGCATACAGGAAGAGGAACAGGGAAGAAGTTTCTGGGCCAAAGAACCTGTGGATCTTCAGGCCACTGGGGAGAGGGTGATGGATTAACAGTGTTTCTCCACGGGAGAAAGAGAAATGTTCACTGCAGGGAAATTCTCAAACTCCAAAGAGATTTTTGGTTGTCATAACAGAGGCTGCTACTGGTGAAGCCAGAATTAGACAGGCAGTCAGCCTAGGTAGGTCAGGCTGGATCAAGGAGGCCAATTTTGAGTGAGTCCTGGAAGTTGGAGACAGTCCCTGAGGGACTGAAATGTTAATTCCTTCAGAGCCCTGCTTTCACCCTAATCAAAAACCTAACCCCGCCTTAATCTGTTGCTAAGGTAACCTGTCCCAGCAATTGCCCCTCCCTACAGGAAGCTATAAGCTGTTAATTAGTGAGTCCTGAGTTGCTCCATCCAGCCCTTCCCCCTTCAACCCACCCGTTTCCCACCTTTTGGCCATCCCACCAAGCATTCCTGGGCCTAGTCTGGTAAACTGAAAATAAAGAGATGAAGGGAAGAGGGCAGGAGAACAAAGGATACCTAGAACATACAAAAAGGGCAGAACACCTTGTTTCTGGGGATACCAAGATACCAGCTGTGGCCCCCTCCTCCCTCCCAGGAGAAATCTATGTTACCCCTTTTTAAATAAAACCCAGCTTTGTATGCTTGCCTTGGCGTGGGCGTGCTTCTCTAAGGTTCAAAGTTCAACGTGTGAGGAAGCAGAACTCATCAAGGGCAGTATCCCTTACCCTGAGGGTAAGGCAAATCTCCTGGTTGTAAGGCAGCGCTTTCTATCTGAGAGACTACTGGAAGAATTGATTCTAAAAATGCCTCCCTTTAGCAGCTTAAAGAGAACAGCACATTTTAAACATCAGAGCGGTAAAACAGACTAGTGAAAGTTACCTATGCACCTTAGGGAACCTGGGCAGCTTTTACTAATTATCCCATGCCTTTCTCTCAGTCCTACAACCTGAATTGCTAACAATTCTGACCCACGGAGGAAGGGGAGCATCCAGGAAGGAATGGATGCAAGGTTGGGAGTGTTGTGTAGCCCACATAGAGGCAAATATGATTGGGGCTTTCCCTCAGTGCCATTCATCTACCGATCACCCTAGATACCCCTTAGGGCTGTCAGGAGGGGACTCAAAGAGAAAGGAACCTTAGGAATACATCTGAGTGTAGCCCAGACCGGAATTCCGCAGTTGTTCCAAACTCCTTCCTCCACCTCCACGCATCCAAGGCAGATTGGGATTAGGGACAGTGTATACCCACACCAATTGCTCTCTGGGCCCAGACAGAAAAGTTGGAAGCGGCTTTGGTAAAACCCAACATGCCTGCTCTGTATTGAAAAGGTGATTGAGAGCTGCCTAGACCAGGAAACCTCTCACCCAAGTCTTGAAGTCTTGAAGCGGCTGCACTAATTGTGTTTAAGTAGCCATCGAGTGCCCACCTTACCCTCCAGAAAGAAAGATGCACCTCAGACAGACATGGGGTGCGTGGAGAGGCACTTACTTTGGTGTAGAATCTTGGTTGGGAACCTCCAATATGTTACCTCTGTTGACCGGTGATGAGTCCTTGCTTCCCCAATGTTGAAGAATAACACCAGAGAAGCACGCCGAGGCAAGGTCAGAGTGGAAAACAGAAGTTTATTAAAGGACAGCAGAAAAGACTTCTCCCGGAGGAAGAAGGGGACCCAAGAGGTGGAATCCATTGAAGGTCGAATGTGTTCCCCTTTTTATAGTTCTTTCAGTGATGGAATGTAGGTGGGAAGGCCCGAAGGGTGGGGCATAGGTGGGCCTAAGAAGTAATCTGGGCAGGAAGGACTTTTGAGTTGGCATCTTCAAGTTTGCTGGAAGCTGTTTCATTAACACTTCTTTGGGATAGGCTCTGGGCCTTGGGGACATTAACATTCCATGAGTTGTCCTGCGTTTCCCGGACTTCATTAATATCCCAAGAGTTATTCAGCTTTTCCCAGAATTCATTCTCAACATGGCCTTCATTTTGAATCTTACTCGATATTAGACCCGATTTACCTAACTACACTGACTACCTAATTTTAAATCTGGCTTCAACATGTGCCTGGATAACCTTGACTATGAAAGAAAATTAAGTTTTCTACGTGATCCTTATGTGAATCAGGCTGAGAGTTACTGGCCTCTCATACTGACACTGGTCTTTTGGGCCCTAGACAAAGAGGAGTGCTTTGAAAATGAGGTAAGCTTGAAACTTCTGATGGGGAGGAATCCTGAACTGGAAAAGTCACCCCTCTTCTTGTATACAGGATTATGCAAGCACATTGTGATTTCATGAAGAGAATTTAAGTTGATGGATTCATTTTCTATGTTTTATTTGAGAAAATCCTTGCTTACTTCCTCCTGAAGATCTTGATGCAGAATGAACAGTGCTACCTTTGGAAACTGCTTGAGGAGGTATAGTTGTCCTTTTGGCCTCTTTCATAATCTTACTCATGCTTTAGGACCCAAAGAAAGTCCCAAGGAGAAGGACGATAACAAATTTGTTGGAAATTTAGCAACTGTCCCATTAAAAAAAAAAAAAAAACTGCATCCAAAAAAGTTGGACATATGTTTTGGCTCACATTAATGGAGTCAAATATTATTCTCCCATTCCAGTTTCTACTCCTTAGTTCAATATTGGTAACTCATATCATTTAGATAGTTAATCATTAGGCAGATTTGTTAAATCATTAGTTGAGATGTGTTTACTAACTAAGCCCATGAGTTCTATTAAAGCAGGCCAGACACCCCCACCCAGAAACACTTACCGTAATTAAGCAGAAACCCCCACCATATTTGTGGCATATAAGTTAGTTCCTCTTCTTATCAGAGAGCTTTTTGGACAGAACATCAGCTATCAGCAAAAATCTACAGAAGGCATTGTGGTTTGTAGCTTCCTCTTTGTTTATACATGTCAGGTTTGCAGAAAAAAAAAATGTGTGAAACTTCTGTCTAGAGTATAGAAGGAAAAGTTCTTGTCATATGAACCTCCCCCTCACCCGCTCCCCACCCCTGCCAAAACTGGGGTATAAAATTCAAAGGATTTTTATCCTCATTGTTCAGGGGAGAATTTTTAGGCAACAGCCTGTCTGGACCCTACAATTAATAAGCCTGCTTCCTGAAAATTCCTCAGGTGTCCAGTGTCTTCTGTCCCACTTCACTGTGACATCCAATTTTTCATTCCTAGTTTGTTCATGCTGGGTGTGGTGGGTGGCACATTCCTGAAATCCTAGAAACTTGAAGCCTGTGGTAGGAGGATTGTAAGTTTGAGGGCAGCCTCAGCAATTCAGTGAGGTCCTAAGCAAATTAGAATGACCCATTTTCAAAACAAAAAGTAAAAAACACTGGGAATGTAGCACAGTGATAAAGTGCTCCTGGGTTAAATCCCCAGTACCAAAAACAAAAATTATTTTGTTCAGTATTTTTTTTCCTCTATTTTTCTTTTAATTCATTTCTCTATGAATTCAACAGACATATAACCATGTCCTGTCTTTAGCTTCTGTTATCTTCTTAATTATTATCCACTCACAAATGTTAAAGGAAAAAAAAAAATATCACTTTTGGGGTATCAACAGTTCCTCTGCTGCTTCACTCTCAACTGAATCATGATACTGGGAGAAACAAATGATCCAGAAATAAAAATAAGCAAGTTTGGTCCATTCAAGAATCTGCAAGTATTCCATAGGTTATATTTGGAGCTATGGTTAAATAGAGAAGAGATTGAACGAGGGGAAAAGAGATGTATCCTCAAGGC